GGGGCCAGGCTAGCTGACTTGGTTGATGCATGTAATCGTATCCCAAGTGCGTGGATCGATGGTCATGATGTCAATCACTAGATATTCTGATCCTGACTCGATTATTTACAGACCGCCGTCATATAGCTGGAATACTGCTGAGTGCGACGATAAACAACAAACAAACAGCATAAAATGTCACCAACACAAGAAAACAAATCTTGGGCTTCTTGGTTGACCGTATCGTATCAGGTAATGGTGGTCAGTTCTCTGTGGTCAAAGCTCTTTTTACTCTTTGAACTTTCGGAACAAGTGTAAGTGAAGTACATAACATCGCGGGTCTGCACACTTTTTGATCGGGTATTGCGCATACAAACCAATAGCAGTGCCGTCTGGGTACGACCACACACCACATCAGTCAGCCATTACTAGCAGCCTCGTGATTCTAATTACAATGTGATCTCAATTTCGCCGTTTACGATAAGCTCTGCAAATAAGCATCCATTGAGATACCATGCCGTAATCAAACAGGGATACTCCACTCAGTTGTAGTATTCTGTCCCCGAGCTGACCAGCCCTCGTTTTATCCCCTCACTGGCAAACGTAAGGCAGGATACCAACAAGTACCATAATGTAACGTATTTTTTTGTATGACGCTGCCCGGGGATCGACCACCGATCTTCTTCTCTCCGGACATACGCTCTATATATTTGAGCTGGTTAACTAACACGAAAGAGTACTTACTGAATTACTTTCGATTTCTAGTTTTATATAACACTCACCTTCAATTAGTCATTCGCAACAATTTACGTCCCTGTGATTGCTCTGACTTTAGCGTCGTACGCGTTGTCTCGCGTCTTACGGAAATTAACGATGTTAGCCGAGTGAACATAAAACATGCATACCAGATCGCGTGTGAATGACACGCCCGCATACATTTCATTGTCATAAATACTATTGACTCGTAAAGATGAGTATTAATGTTGACTTAGTAGTCAGGAACAAGTATTGTCGAGGGACACACTGGAAACTGACCCCCTAGAAAGTGACTGACAGAACCTAACACTCGTGTTTACTGTCGGCCTGTGTATGAATACATGCAGTACTTCTGCTCATGACAAACATGACCAACAATGACTGACTTGCGGATACGCTCCATGTCTATTTACGTCCCCATATTTCAAGTAGGTGTATACAAGGAACATGGGAAACATATCAACAAGTACCGTAGTAGTGGTAGTACTAGTAGTAGTAGTAGTAGTAGTGGTAGTAGGAGTAGTGGTAGTAGTAGTAGTAGTAGTAGTAGTAGTAGTAGTGGTAGTACTAGTAGTAGTAGTAGTAGTAGTGGTAGTAGTAGTAGTAGTGGTAGTAGTAGTAGTAGTAGTAGAAGTGGTAGTTGTAGTAGTAGTAGTAGCAGTAGTAGTAGTAGCAACAGTAGTAGTAGCAGCAGTAGTAGTAGTAGTGGTAGTAGTAGCAGCAGCAGCAGTAGTAGCAGTAGAAGTAGTAGTAGTAGCAACAGTAGTTGTAGTAGTAGTACTAGCAGTAGTAGTAGTAGTAGTAGTAGTAGCAACAGTAGTTGTAGTAGTAGTGGTGGTAGTAGCAGTAGTAGTAGTTGTAATAGTAGTAGCAGCAGCAGTAGTAGTAGTAGTACTAGTAGTAGCAACAGTAGTAGTAGTACTAGCACTAGCAGCAGTTGTAGTAGTAGTAGCAACAGTAGTTGTAGTAGTAGTACTAGCAGTAGTTGTAGTAGTAGTAGTAGTAGCAACAGTAGTTGTAGTAGTAGTAGTGGTGGTTGTAGCAGTAGTAGTAGTAGCAGTAGTAGTAGCAGTAGCAGTAGTAGTAGTAGCACTAGTAGTAGTAGCAACAGTATTTGTAAAAGTAGTAGTAGCATTAGTAGTTGTAGTAGTAGTAGTAGTAGCAGTAGTAGTAGTAGTAGTAGAAGTAGGAGTAGTAGCAGGTGTAATAGTAGAAGAAGCAGTAGTAGTAGTAGCAGGTGTAGTAGTAGTAGCAACAATATTTGTAGTAGTAGTAGCAGTAGTAGTAGCAGTAGCAGGTGTAGTAGTTGCAGTAGAAGTAGTTGCAGTAGTAGTAGTGGTAGTAGCAACAGTATTTGTAGTAGTAGTAGCAACAATAGTTGCAGTAGTAGTAATAGTAGCAACAATAGTTGCAGTAGTAGTAGTAGTAGCAGGTGTAGTAGTAGCAGGTGTAGTAGTAGCAGTAGTTGCAGTAGTAGTAGTAGCAGCAGCAGGTGTAGTAGTAGCAGTAGTAGCAGGTGTAGAAGTTGCAGTAGTAGTAGTAGTAGCAGGTGTAGTAGCTGCGGTAGTAGTAGTAGTAGTAGTAACAGCAGCAGTAGTAGTAGTAGTAGTAGCAGGTGTAGTAGTTGCAGTAGTAGTAGTAGTAGTAATAGTAGCGGGTGTAGTAGCAACAGTAGTTGTAGTAGCAGCATCAGTACTTGTAGGAGTAGTAGCAGTAGTAGTAGTAGTAGTAGTAGTAGTAGTAGCATGTGTAATTGTGGTAGTAGTAGCAGTAGCACAGTAGTTGTAGTAGTAGCAACAGTAGTTGTAGTAGTAGTAGCAGCAGTACTTGTGGTAGTAGTAGTAGCAGCAGTACTCGTGGTAGTAGTAGTAGTTGTCAAAAGACGTTTTTACTGCTAACTTAAAGACTAGACATCGAAGAAAGATCAAAATATCGTAACATCAAAGTTCTATCAACATATTATCCAACAAGCAGCATACCACAGGCAATACAGAGGGGGTGAGTGAGTGGGGCTTAAATAACGGCGCATTGAACACTTGTCAACGGAATAGAGGATTAGGGCCCAACGTGAAGCGGGTCGTACACGGGCGTGGTGCTTACAACCAAGGATCATAATAAGGTCGACACTGGAGTTCGAACCTACAACCAGCGGATCCCGGTGCGCCTAAGGGACACAACTCTGCAAACGTTTGACGCATTAGGACGCTTTATGTAATATATACACATTACCAGCAGTTGTTTCGGGATTTTCCAGATTAATGGGTTTAATCGCTACTCCCACATGATCACTGAAAATTAATTATCACTAACGTTAGCCAAATATCCCAGACAGTGCACACGTTACTGTTTCAAAAAAGTTTGCGATAATTCTGCAGACAGAAAATAAAACCGGATATTAAAAGTCTTAAGTCAACCACTCGAGCTAAAACTGATTAAGGAAACAATTTCTAAAACAGTATCTTGAATCAACGCATTCTCAAAGGAAAAACACAAGCTGTCGTCAATATGGCCTCCATTATGTATCGTAATGGACGTCAAGAAGTCTGCACTGCTCACAAAGCCAGACTGCTACTTCAAAACCACCTGCGACGTTTTTGTCGAACAAAATCCGTCATGTTTGGTTTAATTAAAACCAGAACTAAAACTTTTTTCTAAAAGCCACTCAGTAGAAATAATGTATATACCGGTCTATGCCAATAACATGGATTGAAATAAAACTTTTTTAAGGAAAACATAGCAACCTTATCTTATACAGCGCAATCTTTTCAAGACAACATGTCGGTATCACCCTATCACTCCAATCTCAAGTTTCTATAACGTCTTAACATAGCATGACTTCTATGAATAAATATTTTAATTGATTAAAATAAACACACAAATAATAAAAAGACATGAAACTAAACACATCCCTTGTACCATAATTGTAACACGTTTAGAAACCTGCACATGTTTTAGAACATACTTACATAAGGACTCTCTTGAATTGTTTTTTTATATTAAAAAAACATGTTACATTTAGCTACATTCCTGGTAGAACGTTTAGCAGTTTGGCCAAGAATTGTACCGTGTAAGTATATAGTTGTTTTGCGATGGTGTAGATATAAATAGCCTTAGAAGTATTACAATAGAACAGAATAAATCCAAGGACTTTCCAGTAAATCGCGACAGTTCATATATGTACCGATCTACAATCCATAACTCTTGCATGATGCTGTATTTCTTAAAGTGAAATGAAACCAACGACATTAAGAATACAGTATTTAACGTGTATTAATATATGGACTGCAACATAATTTAAAAATATGATAATGCGATGCTAAGAAATTTGGACATGTTGTCACACAGTGACCACCATATCTATCCTGACGTTTGCAAGATTCCACTGACCAATGATGACATTTCCCCAAGACTCTTTCAATTGAAACATTACATAAAGCAGCATTACCCAACACACTCCCCTTCGCAAGGCTCTTCCTGATTTTGATAAACCGGTTTTGTCGACAGTCGATCTAAAACCATTTTTCCGAACGTCGTGCTGACTCCCGAGAGGGGTAACTATGGAATTCCACTATTTCGTGTCTTCACCACTATTTCGTGTCTTCACCACTATTTCGTGTCTTCACCACTATTTCGCGTCTTCACCACTATTTCGTGTCTTCACCACTATTTCGTGTCTTCACCACTAATTCGTGCGTCACGTCAAAGATCCGGGTTCGATTCCCGACATGGGTACAATATGTGAAGCCTATTTCTGGTGTCCCCCGCCGTGATATTGCTGGAATATTGCTAAAAGCGGCGTAAAAGCATACTCACTCACTCACTATTTCGTGTCTTCACCACTTTTCTTCGAAAATAAACATGTTTAGATCCTATTATGTTTAGGTTTTGAACTCAATGCTAAGCGTGTTTACGATATTAAATATTCAGGCGTCTAAACACGTAGATTTTGTCTATGTGGTAAGAATGAAGTCAAATCTTACCCCTATTTGTGTAAATCCTAAACGTGTTTAGATAAAATGCGCAAAACCCTGAACGCTTTTAGAGCTTATATCTTTAATACCTTATCACACTTTTACAGTAATGTACAAGGTTAACGCATATGAAATCCATAATGTATAATCCTATTTCATTCCAAATTCCAAATCTCAAGCACTTCGCACTCCATTCAAAGCCACGGTGATACTTAAAAGCTGAAATATCGACCTGAAACTTCAAGCAACCGACACCTATCGATACAGGAAACGCTATCTGTAAACAATACTCACCGCCACTTCAGTCAGTGTATATCATTAATAACGTCTCCCGTCCTACGTTATCCCCTCACATCAATGCACATTCCTTGTATTTCCAACTATCTGTTTCCAGACTGACACACCGATAACTTAAAGCCACCTACGAAACGGCGTCAGCGACACGCAATCTGGCAATTTTCTTCCAGCCTACTTGAAAGTCCCCAGGCAACTGGGGGTTGGAGACAAGTCTCGGTGCCTAATCTTTCCGAGCTAAGAAACTGGAGCATTTATCACCTTGAAGCCCCGCCTTTGATCTGAGTTCGGTGTTGTAGCTTTGATATAACCGCTGCCAAAATTTATCACGCCAACAGAACTGCAGTCGATGTTATCAATCATAATATAATTATCTAACGCTTGCCAGATTGCTTAAGGACTTAAATAAAAAAACAAAATGAAATTGGTTTGCACTAAGGTTTACCGTTAACATTGGATATATATGTTTTATTACACAAGAAATACATAGGGATTACATTGAAAATCGTATAATTTGGAATGTGGTGTTTATAGCGGAAGGAACGAGGATAGGCGCGTTCAACCGGTATAACATTCTCATAAATGAAACCTGAAAAAATATTGTGTCTTTGCTTTGAGGCACGGGTTATTTTGGAAGTAGTAATGTGTACCTGTAGGCTTAGATTTCCGAGGAAGGATCTGCATGTATCACATGAATGACTCTTGAGACAGGTAAAGTGCTATAATACAGACTTTAGTAATACGAGACCTTGTAGACGAATGATGTTTGTTGTTCGACATTGAGCATGGTTTATATAACCCGGATATGTTCCAGTGTTTACTTGTATAGATCTTATCACTTTAATCTTACATGTATATTAGTTCATTGTTAACGAATCTACCGTGAACCCATTACCCATTTTTTAAATTTTTCTCAGCACTGGATTACATCTAACGATTTTTCAGCCTGACGAGAAACAGTAAATTATTTTCATGTCTTATAGGACAAAACATTTTTTTTTATAAACGTGTTTTCAAACTTCTTCTAAGGATATAAGATTCTGTATGTTTATATATTTACCTTGAACTAAAACATATATTTGACGTTTGACCGACCCGGGGGTTATGAAAATGATCAAAGCATAGTCTTGCACGGATGAAACCCATCATTTCACAAAGGTCAATATCACCTTTTGAGTGGATTTATGGTTGAAGGCCGCTTTGAATAGTACTTTGGTTTTAGTGCGAAGTGTTAAATTTGGGCGAATTTACGAACGCTTCCAGCTAATGCTGATTTTTGCACGCGGCACAAATATGGAAAGAAACTGCCACACGCATATGTGGAGAAAGAGAGAGAAAGAGAGAGAGAGAGAGAGAGAGAGAGAGAGAGAGAGAGAGAGAGAGAGAGAGAGAGAGAGACTGGGGGGGGGGGGGGGGCAGAGAGGGAGAGAGAGAGGAGACACATTGTTTACGTTCCAAAATGATTAAAACTTCAGTGGACTCACTATGTAATTAACATTAAAGGTACATTATTCAAAAGAGAGAGAGAGAGAGAGAGAGAGAGAGAGAGAGAGGGGTGTGGCTCTGCAAATCTAGCACTGTCATAGGTCGGAAGCTTGTGCAAAAACGACAGTACAGTTCAAAAGGACGTCTAAAAAAGGGAAGTACACAGATATAAGTACTTCCACACAATTATTTAGGGACGTACTCTCTCTCTCTCTCTCTCTCTCAAACACACACACACACACACACACACACACACACACACACACACACACAAACCAAGTTTCACAGATACAAACAGATCGCGGCCTGAGATCAATGACACTGTGTGACTGACATTTCAAGGAGTAAACTCGTATAAACAATAGTTTCATCAGGCCAATCAAATACATGGCAAACACAGATAAAGGGATATGGAAGCTTTCCTTTACAACGTCGCAGATCAAACAGACATTCTATGGCCATAAATACATGAGATCATAAACGACTAGTAATGAGCTCGAGGCACAGTTATGATCAAGGTTGGTTTATTTCTGTTCCCATAACTTGAAATGGACTCTTCCGGGGCCTTGTCAATTTCGCACGTGCAACACGAACATGTCTCGCAGGTGTTCACCTTGACAGTAATTTCTATACGTGTAACAGTGTGAGTGATCGCGGGAACGGATCTCATGTATGTATTATTGACATCAAATTACGAGACGCACGTGGGTTTATAGGCGGTGTAGTAGCCGAGTGGTCACCTTGGTTCGTCACCCCGAAAGCCTGAGTTCGATTCCAAGCATGGGTACATTGATGGTTGTTAAGTATATGATTGGAGTAGTGTGTGGTTAAGAAGGCGTTAAACTCACTCACTCAGTGTAAAATATCGAGACAAGCCAGTGGTTGATATCGCGAACAACGATCCACGCTGTCCGGGAAGGTTGACACGTCATCCACCAGGTCACCGAGTCTGATCACCCGATGGGTTCGAATCCCGGTTCACCCCGATTATGTTTCTAGGTTTGTCAGCACCATACCCGTGCTCGTGGGTTTCACCGAAGTGGTAAACGTCTAAGACCTGCATCACTCCGGGCTTTCCTCCCACATTAAGCTGACACGCCGCGATATAACTGGAATACTGTTAAAAACGGCGTTAAACCCAACTCACTCACTCACTCACTCACTCACTGATCACCCGATCCGTTAAATCGCCTCTTATGATTGGTTGCTAGGGACCTCCTCTGTGCCGGAAATCTCCCGGGGCGATCACATTCATGTTTATTTTAAGTTTTATTACCAGACAGGTGATTACGTGCTCCCCTAAATTAAATTTATACTTACGCCTTTATGTTAGTGTGGCTGATGCCGAATGGATTAGATAGGTTTTGTACTCAGAAGTGTGCCCAGACAAAAATATATGTTTTGTTTCTACGAGTAGTGTTTCCAGGTGCACATATTATAGGTTATTATTCGTGTTTGTTCGTTGTTTAAATCCGTATTCGGCAATATACCAGCCGCATGACCTGTAAATAATCGAATCTGGACCAGACAATCCAGTGATTGACATCATGAGCATCGATCCACGTAACTGGGATACGAATTCATGCATCAACCAAGTCAGCGAGCCTGAGACCCGATCCCGTTAGTCACCTCAATTATTTGTGACTTTTCATACCATTCCCAATATCTACCCGAGGCTCCCATATCAGCCCGAGGGACGAGGTCTCAACATCATGATTGTTGAATATGACAACAAAAGACAGCATGTCATCGTTTAATAGGGAAAAAAACTTGAATATGGTTAATAAATAAACAACAATCGCAGTGCATACACTGACATTATGACTACGAACCAAAGTAATTGTAAACTCAAACGCTATCTACATAAAAACGAAATATTTTAATCTATTTAAAGTTTAAATTCGACAGTTAAAGTTAAATAGCTTAAGGTCATGACTTTCTATTTGAGTCATTTGCTGTGTCTGGGGAAATCTAAATAATCCCCTGCAGTGAAAACTACCCCCTACAAGCTGACTATAGACTGGGGTGCGTAAAGGACGACAGCCCCCTATTTATATACTTGATTAATTACACACCGAGACTATATATGGCCGGATACAACAGCTGATATAGGCGTGTACACCGGAGCATGTAGGTCAATGAACCTGATTCATTACAGATTAAGCACGTAGCACGGTTAATAAGGGACTGAAATAGATGTTGAGACCACTTTCTACTTCACATTGAGACAACCGTCTTGCACTTGCTTCGACGACATTTGCCAGGAATTTGTCGAAGCAAAATGGAACATTATGTGATGTGTTTAATATGGTATTATATGGGATGGATTGTTTGTGGGTTCAGGAGCCAGGGCTTCCGTTGACCTTCTGGTGTGGAGTGCACCTCGAAATTAGGTCGTTGGATGTGGATCGGTGCTCATAACATCGCCCACTGGTTTGTATGGGTCGGTTCGATTTTTGAATATTGCGTGAGTCCGACCATATCCGGCAGCTACCGTGTTTTCGCGACGTCATGAATGTTAGTGAGTGAGTGAGTATGGTTTAACGCCGCTTAGCAATATTCCAGCAATATCACGGCGGGGGGAAACCGGAAAATGGGCTTAACACATTGTATCCATGTAGGGAATCTAACCCGTGGCTTCGACGTGACGAGTGAACGCTTTAACCACTAGACTACCCCACCGCCTATGCCCCAACGTTGTGACGTTATCAGAACGAGTTCTTGCTACTCCATACACCTATTCTGCATAGATCTCAATAATATTATTTGTTTCGATGACGTCAAAACAATATGTCCGGTATGAATGTTTTACACCTCCCCGAAGCATGGGAGTTTACTGCCTATAAAAGTCCAGTTTCCACCCTTGCCGAACTAGGATGGTATTATGGACTTACATTTTGGCTGGACTAACGAGTCTATGCATAGTCCAATCAAAATCGCGCACCGAAATCAAAATCCGGTTAGTAAACTGTCGTGCAGATTTCGGTCGATTGCATGATTTGCAAAGCATGTGCACCGTCAACTCGTTGTCAACAGATATTTTCCAAGTCGTTTCACGTTTTAAATCGAGGATCTCACATGATTTGATGCACTTCGCGAGGTAAGACCCGTTTTATCACAATATAGGTCTTGATTATCGATCAGATCGTCTTGACTGGGCGCCGCCATTTTGTTTGAAACAAATGCAAGTGATACGATAGTTGGAATCTGCTTAGTCCATAAGAGAGGCTTATAAGGGACATAACTCGTAATAACCTCTGGTGGCGCTACGATCGAGCCCAGGAATTCCAGCCCAGTTCGGCAAGGGTGGAAACTGGACTTTTACAGTCAGTTAACTCCTTTGCCTCGGGAAGATGGTTTTACACCTGTAAAACTTCCTTTACTAAAAAGTACAATTACATAATTGTAATAATTTCGTTATGTGTTTTAAGACTATTTAACTATATTTGTTTCTTTGTTGTTAAACGCCTCACCCAGCAATATTCCAGCTTTATGACGGCGGTCTGTAAATAATCGAGTGTGGACCAGATAATCCAGTGATTGACATCATGAGCATCGATCTACACAACTGGGATACGATGACATGCATCAACCAAGTCAGCGAGCCTGACAACCCAATCCCGTTGGTCGCTTCTTACGACAAGCAAAGTCGACTTTGACGGCAAGCATCGATTGCTGAA